TTTTAAAGGATTGTTTGTTTGAAAGAGATACAGAGGAGAGAGAGAGAGAGAGAGAGAGAGAGAGAGAGAGAGAGAGAGGAGAGAGGCCTTCCGTCTGCTGATTCACTCACCAGATGGCTGCAACTGCCAAGGCATGACCAGGACAAAACTAGGAGCCAGGAGCTTCATTCAGGTCTCCCACATGGGTGGCAGGTACCCAAGTACTTAAACCATCTTCTGCTGCTTTTCCCAGCAGGAAGCTGGATTGGAAGTGGAGCAGCCAGGACTCAAATCAGTGCCCACATGGGATGCTGGCATTGCAGGCAGTGGCTTAATCTGCTATGCCACAATTCCAGCCCCAAGGGTAGTTCCACTTTTTTTTTGAAATGCTTCAGGAGTTTTCTTTTTTTCTTTTTGTTTGTTTTTAACAGGCAGAATGGACAGTGAGAGAGAGAGTCAGAGAGAAAGGTCTTCCTTTACCATTGGTTCACCCTCCAATGGCCGCTGTGGTGGGCGCGCTGCAGCCTGCGCACCGCGCTGATCCGAAGCCAGGAGCCAGGTGCTTCTCCTGGTCTCCTGGTCTCCCATGGGGTGCAGGGCCCAAGCACTTGGGCCATCCTCCACTGCACTCCCGGGCCACAGCAGAGAGCTGGCCTGGAAGAGGAGCAACCGGGATGGAATCCGGCGCCCTGACCGGGACTAGAACCCCGGGGTGCCAGCGCCGCAAGTGGAGGAGACATGGACATCTTTTTTTTTTTTTTTTTTGACAGGCAGAGTGGACAGTGAGAGAGAGAGAGAGAGACAGAGAGAAAGGTCTTCCTTTTGCCGTTGGTTCACCCTCCAATGGCCGCCGCGGCCGGGACTAGAACCCAGTGTGCCGGCGTCGCAAGGCGGAGGATTAGCCTAGTGTGCCACGGCGCCAGCCGGACACATGGACATCTTAACCAGTGTCTTAACTAGGCTAAACATTTGCTCTGTCCATTTTATTTTGAATTCCTTTATCTGAGAGTCAATTTTGCCACAGTTGTTTGAATTCCCTAAAAAATCACTTTCAATGATTCATTTCAGGGCCAGACATTATAGTACGGCAGGTTAAACTACTGCTTGGGATGCCCCCATCCCATTTCCAAGTGCCTGAGATGCACTCCTGCTTCTGTCTGTTCCCGATCCTCCTCCCTGCTAATGCACCTGGGAGGCAGATGACCCCTCAAATGCTAAGTCCCTGATATCCACGTGGGAGACCTGGATGGAGTTCCTGGTTCCTGGCTTCAGCCTGGCCCAGCCCTGGCTGTTGTAGCATTTAGGGGAAGAGAACTGGTGGGTGAAAGATGGTCTCTTTCTCTGTTACTCCTTTTAAAAAAATTAAAAATGAACCAACATTTTAAAAACCTATACATACAAGTATCTTTTTTTAAAAAAATCATCTGTAAAAGAGAATCTTCAAGGGACTGGGAATATTGAAGGCTCCAACCCCAACCTGCTCTCATGTGCTCACCCACCCTCTCCATCCCCCTTGCTCAGTGCCAGGACCAGCTGCTTAGAGTGGCCGTGGACACAGGCGCCCCGCACAATCAGATCTCCTCCGCGTGCCTCAGCCGTCTGGGGTGAGTGGGGCCCGAACCAGTGGCTGGGGGCGTGGGGCTTCTCTTTGGGGTGAGGACGATGTTCTCAAGTTAGACAGTGGTGAGGGCTCTGAAGATATTAAAAACCACTGTACGCTTTAGGAGAGTGCATTTTTATGACATCTGAATTATATCCCCATAAAGCCTGATTTATTTTGCAAGCGTGGTTGGAGACTCTGACCGAGGAGCGGGACATTAGCTAATGAACAGGGGTGTGGGCGGGGGCTGCGGTGGCCTTCACTACCTTGCTTTCCAACTACAGGTTAGGGAAGAGGGTCCTGAAAGGCCCAGGTGGGAGCCTGGCACCTGGGTCCCCAAGCCAGGTGGAGCAGCTGGAGCTGCAGCTGGGGCAGGAGACTGTGGCCTGCTCGGCCCGGGTGGTGGGTGAGTCCTCCCTCCTCTCCGCCCAGCTTCTCTCCGCTTCTGCCATCCTCCTGGGGGTGGGGCCGGGCAGAGGCTTGCCAGCCCCTGGCAGCACAAGGTGTCCTCGAGGATCCTCTGATTATCCCCTCTCTCTGTGCCAGTACCTGCAGACCTGGGGCATGGGGGTGGGCAGGGAAGGGGCGGGTGCCCAGCGGAGGGCCACGGGGGCTGCAGCACTCGTCACCTTCTTCTGTCTTCACACGGTTCCTGTAGATGCTGAGAGCCCTGACCTCTGTCTCGGGCTGTCCACGCTGCTTTCTCTCAAGGTAAGTGCCCGCACTGGGGCCCAGCCCAAGGAGCCGGGCAAAGCGGCAGAAGGCGCAGCTATAGAAGAGCGGATCAGGTTCTGCCGAGGAAGACTGCTAGATGTGCAGTTTCCCCTTTGCTTCCTTAATGACCCACAAGGGAAAAACCCAGAGAACAGGGTCCCTCCCTGCTGGGGGCCTGGGTGGATGGAACAGGGGAGGAGCAGAGAGCCAGGAGCAGCTGGCAGCTGCAGGAAGTGGGAGGGCGGGGGGAGAGGTGGTGCCCTGCGGGGGTGAGCTCACATGACATCCCCCTCACCCCACAGTGCTGCATCGACCTGGAACATGGGGTGCTGCGGCTGAAAGCCCCGTCCTCAGAGCTGCCCTTCCTGCCTTTGTACCAAGAGCCCGGCCAGTGACCGCTGTCCCCATCAGTCTTCCCCCCGGGGCAAGAGCTGTGGGGAGGGCCAGAGAGCTGGGGACTCTGTGTCCCGCTTCTCACTGCCCTGACCCCTACTGACCCATTTCTCTCAGTCTGCCACAGTCCTCTCAGCTGTCAGCAACTGCCTCCTCCCCCAGGAGTTTCACCCGGGGGCCCAGACTCCAGCCTTCTGGCTTCCCTGTTCTCTCAGTCCCTTCCCAAGAAGAGCGACACCAGGTCAGGGCTGCAGAATGGGACAAGAGCAAAATGGGGCTCTGGGCTTGGCCCTGGGCATGGGAGGACCTGAGCCAAAAGCTGCAGCTGACCGCTGTCCTCACGATCCCTCAGCCCCCACCCCAAAGCTACTGCACTGTCCTGACGCCCACATCTCCCTGCTCACCTCCGGGGTTCCTGGTCTCCTACACCAGGCCGCCATGCCAAACCAGCCCGGGTCCCTGGCCCTCCTGGGGCCTGCCTTTTGGAGTCCATACACGTCTGCTCACAGGTGATGGGGGGAGACATTTTGAGCAGAGGAATTCAGTACAACGAAGGTGACTTGGGGCAGGAATGTGCAAAGCCGAAGGCAGAGAGCATCTGTCGTTCACCTTCTCTGGGATTGGTGGTTGATTGATTCCCCAGTGCAAAGCCTTGGCTGTACCGCTCACACTCACTGCACGCATTTATTCTCCACTTGCCCTTTGCACCCACTGGGCTCCTGAACTTGGAAGGTGTATGTGGAAGAGCCCAGAGAGACAGGAGAGGATGGTGGGGTTGGCAGTTTCAGACTTAAACCTATCCAGCATTCGTTTATATTTATGGGGTGGGCCTTGTGGCTCAGCAGGTTAAGCTGCTGCTTCCAACAGTGGCATCCCATATTAGAGTCCAAGTTCCAGTCACAGCTGCTCTGCTTCCGATCCAGCCAATGTACCTGGGAAAGCACCAAAAGATGGCCCAGGTGTCTGGGTCCTTGCCACCCTCGTGGGAGACCTGGATGGAGTTTCAGGCTGCTGGCTTTGGCCCTGCCCAGCCCTGGCTGTTGCAGCCATTTGAGGAGTAAAGCGGCAAATGGAATAATCTCTTTCCCTCTCTGACTTTAAGGCTTATTTATTTATTTAAAAGGCTGGGCAACAGAGAGAGAAAGAGATCTTCCATCTGCTGGTTTCACTTTCTGAATGCCTGCAACAATTGGTGCTGAGACAGGTGGAAGCCAGGAGCCAGAAACTCCACCGGGGTTTCCCACCTGGATGGCAGAGGCCCAAGTACTTGGGCCATCATATTCTGCTCCCTCCCCTCAACTCCATGTTTTAGCAGGGAACTGGATTGGAAGTGTAGAGTAGCCGGGACTCAGAACTAGCACTCTGATGCGGGATGTGGGCTTCCAGAAGTGGCAGCTTTACCCAATGCACTGCAACACCTGCCCATCTTCTTATTTCTAGAATTAGCACACACACACACCATTAGCCTTCTTTCTACCCATATCTTTGGCCTTCCGAGTTTAAGCTTATCTTGTCCTGGAATCAGTGGCTTTTTATCCCCCAGTTGGGCTCACCCACAAAGCAAAAAGAGGTTCTTCTGAATTCACTGTGAAGAGTCCAAACCTCAAGCAGCAAGACCTGGAGGGTCTTTCTGGTTGGTCTGGGTCTCGCAAATCAGTGTCAGGAATAGAGAAAAGCCAGTGGTGGAGCTAACCTGAGCCGGGACCTGGGGCCTGGGGCTGGAATGAAAATCTTGAGCCTGGAGTAGATTAGGGAAAAGCCGAGGTGCAAGGAGCTTCCCCGAGACACCTGCTTTGCCTTTCTCAGGCTCAGTTCTCACAGGTACCTACAGGATTCCCTTGCCCTCACTGCTTTGCTCCATGACCTCTGCTTCCCTGGGTCTCGCCCTGTTCCTCTCCCTGTTTGCTTCCGGCTGCTTCTGTAACTGCAGAACCAAGGCCCCAGCGCCAGCCCTCAGCCCAGCTGCTTCCCCTTTGAATAAACACTTGTTTCTGTAAGCCGATGTTCTCTGGTTGTCCTCCCTGCTCTAGGAGCACGACGATAGCTCTGCCCTGGCTGCCTTCCCTGGGGTGCCCCATACCCACCTGACTGGGGGTCAGCACAATTCAGAGCAGTGGCTTTCAAACTGCTCTGAGCACAACTCACAGTGGGAGAGAGATGGACAAAGGTACTTCAAAAAATGTGTGGGAAGTGAAAAGTTAACTTTTGTTTTGGTGCAAAAATGTTGGAATCCATACATATGAGGGATCTTCAAGAAGTTCACAGACGAGGCATAGTATGAAAAAACTGTGCACAAATTTATCTTTACACCAGATTATCTTTTAAAATTTTTATTTATTTTCATTTTATTTGAAAGGTGGAGAGAGAGATGGAGAGAGACACAGAGAAAAGACAAGAGACACAGAGATCTTCTACCCACTAGATTACTTCCAAATGTCCACAATAGTTGGGGCTGGGCCAGGCCAAAGCCAAAAGCCAGGAACTCCATCCGGGTCTCCCACATGGGTGGAGGGACCCAAGCACTCGAGCCATCACTGCTGCCTCCCAGGGCATGCATTAGCAGGGAGCTGGAGTCAGCAGTGCAGCCAGGACTTGGCCACAGGCACTCCAGTACACGATGCAGATATTCCAAGGGGCATCTTGACCCCGAGCCCAATGCCTACTCCATGAACTTTTCTTTTAATTCCATTTTCTGTGCACTTTTAAGAGGACAGCATTTAGTACCACATCACATACAGCTATAACACTGACCCACACTGTGAATAGCATACTCCTGCCATTTTCAATTTTCTTTCTATCCTACTTCATTTACTTCGAACATGCTGGCCACAACCCTCCAAAGGACTGCAATCTACAATTTGAAAAAACGCTGATTAAGGGGACAGAGAATCAAGAGCAGAAGGAACATACATGGCCCAAGACATAATTCTGTTGTGGTCTGGGTCATAAACCTGCATCAGACTGCGAATGTCTATTGTCTCAGCGACAATGCGGTGTTTTGGTGGGGAGAGCGTGACAGGGAAATGGGAAGAACAGCACTCGGCTTGAGGAACTGTGGTAGGATAAGAAAGCACCAATCTGGCTGCTTCAGTAGATGGAGGAAAATCGATTGTCTCAGGGCTGCCAGGAACACAAGACCAGACTGTAAAATGGCCAGCAAGATCCCACAGTGCGAAGCAAATGCCTGTGGTCCCTCTTGATGACAGTGACCTGCAGCTGGGCCGGGGAGCTAGCGCTTAGGCTGGGGTGCAGCCTCACCTCAACCTTCCGTGCTCTTCTCGGCCTGAAGCCTGGTTTTCTTAGGGGTGCTGGGGCCACACAAAAAGACATGCACTCCTTCCTCTCCAACAAACCTCTGTTTCCCACATAGGGAGAGTGGTGGTGGGGGAATCCCAAATGATTTGGAACAAGGCCAGAGTCTTAGACCCTGCTGGTGTAATGTGTGAGGGCCACCCAGAAAGGGCGGAGGGGTCAACTTGTGTCTTCCTTCACCACAAAGACTATGAGGTCTATAGTTCCGGTCGCCCTCAGGCTGTCACCATCCTTCCGTGCCCCGGGTCGGATCATGTTCATCAGTAACCCATGTTCCCTATTCTGCCAATACCATGGAAATCTCTGGGGGTGGGAGTGGGGCTCAGATGGATCCTTTGCCAGCGAAGAAGCACGTGCACCTGGGTGGACCTAGGTGGGGTCCTGGAGGCTTGCGGGCGCACACTGTGGCGGCTGGTCCGGATGGTAGAGGGTGTGGTGAAGCAGGGCGCGGGCCGCAGGAAGGTCGTTGGGATCTGAGGGCCGAAAAGGGGCTGGTAAGAGGTTCCAGGGTCTGCTGGGCGCCTGGGCCACTGACTCCCTGGGGACTCACCGGTGCCCAGCTCCTGCAGCAGGCTGCGGAACTCTGGCTCCGCCTCCAGCAGCTTCAGCAGGTTGGTGGACTCCATCCGCTCCAGCTGCACCTCCCAGTACACATAGATCTTCTGGTTGAAGGTGACGTACACCAGGCAGGGGCTGTTGCGGCCTTCTTTGCAGGCGTAGAGGCCTGGGAAGGGCGGGCAGCGAGACAGAGGCCACAGGTTTCAGCCACAGTGATGGGCGGCAGAGAGCAAAACCTAGCTCCAGGTCAGGAGTCTGGCCTTTCCAGAGCAGTCAAGCAAAACCAGAAACACGCTCTCTCTGTAGCTTCTGTTGGGAACCGAGCAACCAAAACCAGGCAGAACTGCCTCCGAAAAGGTGCTGTTAGTTCCTTTTCCCATCTCAGTGACCTTGCGAGAGGCAGGAAGGACACAGCCTGACTAGTCCAAGGGCAGATTAGCAAAACAGGACCAGGAAGGAAAGCTTCCCTAGGCTGCCCGTCCCCTCTTCCCAGGCATATACATGATCCCTTCAGGTCACCGGAGTATGTCATCATTGTAACGACCGAACATACTCCCAGTCACCTGGAGCACGAGCGCGGCTCTCCCAGGTCCCCAGTGGGGACTCTTCTTCACCGAGGTCTGGGAGGCTCGCGTGGAGAAGAACGTGCTGATGTCTGTGTCGTCACACACCCCAGAGGGATGGCAAGAAATCATCCCATTCTTCAAAACACTGGAGATCTCACTGATGCCCCCCCTTTAAAAAAAACTAATTTTGCATTCCAATATTTTATTTTTAAATGTTCATGTTCATGTACTTAAAAGGCAGAGCAACACACACACACACACACACACACACACGGAGTTTCTATTTGCTGGTTTACACCATAAATGTCTACAATAGCCAGGAGCCTGGAACTGCATCTGGGTCTCCCGTGTAGGTGGCAGGGACTGTTATCTGCTGCCTCCCCTGGAGTATTAGCAGGAAGCTGGATCAGAAGCAGAGGAGCTGGGACTCAAACCACCGGCATTCTGATATGGGATGCAGGCATCCCAAGCAGCAGCTTAAGAAGTTGTGCCACAACCCAACCTGACCTCATTGTCTTCTATCTCTCCTTTTTAAAACTGTCAAGATGGGGCCAGCACCGTGGCACAGTGGATAAGCCACTGCCTATGATGCCAGCATCCCATATGGGTGCTGTTTCGAGTTCCAGTTGTTTTGCTTCTGATCCACCTCCCTGCTAATGCATCTGGGGAAGCAGTGGAAGATGCCTCAAGTACGTGGGCCTCTGCCATCCATGTGGGAGACCTGGATGGAGTTCAGGCTCCTGGCTTCAGCTAGGCCCAGCCCTGGTCATTGCAGCCATTTGGGGAGTAAACCAGTGGCTGCAAGATCTCTCTCCTGTCTCTCCTTCTCTCTCTGTAACTCTATCAGGTAAATAAATAAATCTTTGAAAAAAAATAAACTGTCAAGATGGCAATGTAGTAGCCACCCACCACCCCTTAAGGAACTCATTCATCTGGGAAGACTTACAGTCAAGATGATGCTGAGAGTTGAAATGAGAGGCAAGAAATGACCTGGCATGAGCATGCGTGGGACGGGGGGTGGGGGGTGTGGCCATGGGGCCAGGGGACCCACCTGCACAGAAAGCCCGGATGTTCTCATCCACCTGGAAGCGGACGACAGTGCGGTTGTGATCGATGATGTACGTCTGTCCGTCCCAGGCACACGCAACCACCTCCTCGTGGCCATTGCCCTGAAAGAGGCCAGAGCGCAGGGTGTGAGGGAGGCTGGGCGCCACGCGCGAAGCTCCATGGGAGCTGTGGACCGTACTCTGTGGGAAGACAGAGCTGGGGAAGCACTTCTGCAGGCCAGGCCAACCGGGCTGGCAAAGGAGCCCCTTTCCGAGCGCGCGCTACAACCCCATGAGCCAGGCAACATCATTCCCAACTTTATACTGAGGAAACCGCAGCCGTCAGAAGTCAAGTCCCTCACCCAAGGTCACTCAGCTGAGACGTTAAAGAATCAGGACTCAAAACCAAGTCTTGTCTGCCTGGCTTCAAAGCCTCAGGCCTCCTCCTAAACCATCAAATATGCCCACTGGCAATGTCAAGTGTAGCCTCCATCTGCTACATCCGGGGCCGCGGAGCTAGCAAACGGAGACTCATAAAATGATAGGGGCTGTGGCACGTGGTGGGTCACGCTGCCACTTGCAATGCCCGCTTCCCGTATTAGAGTGCCCGGGCTCAGGTCTTGGCTCTGCTTCCAATTCCAGCTTCCTGCCACCCATGTGGGAGACTCACATGGAGTTCTCGGCTCCTGGCTTCAACCTGGCCCAGCCCCAGCTGTTGTGGGCATTTAGGGGAGTGAATAAGCAGGTGGAAGACCTCCCTCCCTAACTCTCTACCTTTCAAATAAATCAATAAAAATTAAAAGAAAAAAAAGGATGAAACTGGGATGCAGGGATGGTCTGATTTGACTCTCGTCTCTGTCTCTCCTGCAGCGAGGCACAGGTGCCGCGCCCCCCACCAGGGTGTCACTCACCGTGACATCTAGCTTCTCTAGGGCAAAAAGCTGGTGATCCACCTGCACCGACCACAGCAGCTTGTCCGCCTCCTCCATCAGCTTTAGCGTCCCTGCCGGGGAGAGGCAGGCCGAGGTGGGTGGGCCAGGCCGCTGAGCAGACCCCTCAGGCAGGCAACCCCCTACTCCATCCCAGCATTGCTCACCATCCAGGGTGCACAGGGCAAAGAGGCCAGAGCCACGGCTCTCTGGGTTGTGGCCTGTGGGTGGGGCAGAAGGGCCAGGGGCAGAAAACGTGAAAGGCAGGGCAAGACAGGTGCTCCCAGGGAGAGGCAGCCCCAGCAGGGAGGGAAGGATGATGGGAATGCAAATGGGGGCAAGACGCTGGCCCTTTCCCGGCTCCCAACCCCCAAGAGCTCGGCTCCCTCCCTCGCCCCACCCCACCTTCACCTTGTTTGATGTTGCCAATTAAGTGAGTGGAGACGTTCTTATTGTGAATTCGGCCAGATGTCTGGTGCAGTACCACATCCCGGGCAGCTGGGGTCTCCCTGGGCCAAATAGGAGTGCAAGTGAGGCCCCTTGGGACTGTGGGACTGCTAACCCAGAACGAGCTTCCAGGATCTAAGTCAGCTTAGAAGCCTGTCTCTGACCCCGTCTGGCCCAGTAGCCAATAGAAAAGAGAAGGACAGTGCCACAGGCTTGAAGCCTGGGATCTCTTTCAGAGCTACTGGTTGAAGTCCCAAAATAATTTTCCTTAATGAAGCAAAGGGCTTGGGCTGGGACCCAGGTGAAGAAGTTCCGCTCACTGCAGGCCCAACTCACTGCCATGTGCCACGGGGAGCTGGTCCTGCTGCCATGCACCTCAGCGCCACCCACAGGCCTGCGCCCCCTTACCTGCTGCCCTCTGCGGCCCCCTCAGAGGTGGGAGGGGACCCAGCGTCC